ATAAACTGAACAACTTTTGCCTCAGGGTCACATTGAAATTCTTCACTAGAGTTAAAATACAAAATAAAATTCAAAAATATTTAATTTATTTTTATTTTTTTTAATCATTTTGGCCCGGCCAGGCAAGTGACCCCGGGCCACTCTGGTAGCCTAGGTAAAAAGTGAAAAAAAACGTGGGCAAGCACGTTTTAACACCGCCATCTTTGGAGATTGTTAATTCTTAATTGGCTGAGCCAAACGACTTGAAAATTTATAGGTGTGTACCTCACGTCATAGAGAATTGACAAAAAAAAAATCAAAAAATAAAATATATTTTTAGGCCCCGAAATAATTTTTGGCGGCGGCCGAACGCCATCGGGTTCGAACCCCGTACGGGACCCCTAACGCCCGTACGTACGGAGGTCTGTCCAGGGACCTCCGTATGTACGGGTTGGTAACCTTGTATGTATATATATATATATATATATATAGTTTGTCACAGCCCCTCGTTTGTTGTCCTCTGCTCTCTCTCTGCCTACGGTTTACCGGGCAGTTCTGTCTGTGACGATATATATATATATATATATATATATATATATATATATATATATATGGGAATGTAGAGCTTTTCGTGCTTTAGACCCTCATTTTTTTATTTTATTTTTTTGTCTTTTTTAATATTTAAAAAAAATAAAAATCATCAAAATGTGAAAAAAAGATAAAATAAAGAAAAAAAAATGATTGATTGATTGATTGATTGATTGAATGATTAAAAAAAGAAAAAGGGAAAACAAGACCACAGTTAAGGTTTTCAGTTTTAAATGCGTTTCAGTCACGATTTCACGAATTTTGCTCTAAAGCGAGGAAAATTGTAAATGTATCCAACCCAACTTTAGGGTTGGGTGGGTATGTGTTGTGTTCGAAGAATGCCTGAAGTGGATTTGGATTTCAAAACGTGACTGCGCCCTAGTTACCAAAAAAAAAACACTATATATATATATTTTTTTTTTCTCTGTGTGTATGTGTGTGTGTGTGGCCCTCTCTTGGTGCGTGCTCGTGTGGGCGCGAGAGAGAGAGAGTATGTGTTTGTGTGTGTGTGTGTGTGTATGTGTGTGTGCGTGTGTGCATGTGCGCGTGTGTGTGTATGTGTGTGTGTGTGTGTGTGTGCACACGTGTGGGGGGGGAAGGAGGGGCGGGGGGGGGGGGGGGGGAGGCGCGACTCTCTCCCAACCAACCAAATAATCAATCAATCAATTAATCAATCAATCAATCAATCAATAAATCATCAGGCAATCAATCAATCAATAAATCACCAATCAATCAATCAATCAACCAGTCAATAAATTAATAAATCAATAAATCAATCAATCTTTTTTTTTTCCCCCGACCCCCCACGACCCCCCACCACTCCCCACCACTCCCCACCACTCCCCACCACTCCCCAACCGGCAAAAAAACTTTTTTTTTTTAATTTACTTTGGGGGGTAGCCCTCGACATGCACACTCCCCCCACCCCCCCCTCGGGAGGCCCCCCGAAACGGGTGGTACGGCACGTACGACCGCCTGGGGGGGTCGTACGTACAGATTTACGACCGTACCTACTCCCCATAACCGTACGGAGGGCAATATAGCTTTATACATCCCTGCAACTGATCAAGCAAATGGTCAATGCGAGGAAGGTGTTCTGCATTATTCAAACTAACGAAATTCAGTCCTTTGTAATTTATGCACAACCTAAGTTTTCCTTCTTTTTTTGATACAAATAAGACAGAAGCACCATAAGGAGACGAGCTTGGTCAAATTCATCCCTTTTCGGTAATTTCTTGCAGTTTTTTCTTTAGTTTTTTTAGTTCTCTAGAAGACATTCGGTAGATAGTCCTTTGAGAATCTTCCTTTGGGGAATTATCTAAATCATGTGCTCATTAGCATGTTCAATTATTCTCATTGGTTCAGTCTGCAAGTCCTTAAATTTGTGAAGGAGGATAGGACGAAAAACACTCACCAATTTGTTTAACGAGTACCATCATTACGTCATATGCGAACATCTTCATTGTAATCATGCTTCGAAAAACAGAAACACACATACAACATAAAAACAATGACGAGTCAGAACATGACTTGTGAAATAGTTTAATTGGTTTCATGTTGGATTTTTCATCCTTTTAATGAATAATCTTATCTTTAAACTTGATATCTGAGTCGGCCTTCTCGTGCCAATCCATTCCCAGAATCAAGTCAAAGGGTAGGTTCTTCTCTATGAGAAAGGTAAGTTCATTTAATAGCATTTTTCCTTGCTTCGTTTGAAAATAACATTTCACACGACTAATATATTGCGGGTTAGTGATCGTGCTTTTATCTACAAGCATAA